AAAGTGTGGAGGGGGTAGAGGAAGGGAGAGGCTTCATTGGCTGCCCCTGCTGCCAGCAAAATCTCAGAGCTGCTATTGGTCAGAAACTGGCCAATGGAAGCTGAGATTTTGCTATGGGGTTGGACAGAGCACAAAACCTCCCTCCCCCTCCCAGAATGAAGCAGCCTCCTTGAAAGCGGCTGCTGCCGCGGTGTGTTGAAGGGTCCCAGTGACGCAGCCCTGGCTGGATCCGGTGCATCCGGCCCGGGGGCAGCCTCTTGCTCACCCTTGGTGTAACGGCTGAGATTTCCCCTGTTACATGATTTTCAACATCTCTAGTAGAGATATACAATTATTTATTTTTTTCTCTCTCCATATATTTTGTAAAATAAATAATATTGTATATAAAATAATTGCTGGTAAAGTTTTATATACATAGAAGTATGTGTGTGTAGACACGCACACATAGACACACAGACCTTCAAATCTCTTCACTGATCTTCCCTTACATTTACTTCAGAAATGCCTGCTTCTTAATTTTTCTCTGCCAGTGCTTTGCTGTTTTGCTCTGTTAGTATGCCTAAGGAATACAAGAAATAAAAAAAAATATTTTAATTATCTATGACTTTCCCTCTGCATCTCACCATCTGGGGGCCTACTTGTCCTTTGATGAGCACTGCGTCACGTTGTTGTCTTCTCCCACAAGTCTTGTTGGTTTATAGCAGGTCCTGAATTGAATTGCCACTAGCTAGAAGATGTGATTTTTTTCTGCATTAAAAATATATAATTCTTTGAGTAGGTGTCAGTGTAGATTCCACTGTAATAAACATGTGATTCACATGCATGAGCCTGGAGTCTTTGAAGTAGCAGTATCTTTTGAGACTGCATATGCACCCACTGCCTCCTCATGCTCTTTTGTGGGAGTTTAAAGGTCAGAGTGGCCATTACTCTTCTTCAGCTCCCACAATCAAGCCGCACAATGGAACCCAGGGGTGGCTAATTCATTACTTCTCAGCGTTCATTAATTCTTCTACTTATTCTTCTGAAAATCAAATAATCTAAGATCCTTTTAGTAGGAAAATTTCCCAACTGCCTAAATTATCAATTTTAAAAAATTAAAAAGGAAGAAGACCCCCTATAATATGTGGTTCTGGGGGCTACTACTGAGGGTGTCAGTTCAGAGCAAATTACTTAGTAAGGGCTACTTCTAGCCTAAAACTGGGGTTCCTCCACCATAAGGTACACCAGGGCTACTCAACACATGGCCTGTGGGCTGCATGCGACCCTTGGCCCATTTCTATGTGGCCTATGGTGCAGTTTGGGTTTACGCAGGGCTCAACACATGGCCCACAGATGGGATCCTTTGAACATAGCCTCCATTGGGACACACTTCACAATGGTGAGGCGTCTCCCAGGTGTTGAAAGATGCAAGTGGATGGGCTGGCTGAACAGACAGGTACAGGGTGTTGGCATTTCTAGTCCCCCAGGGAAGAAGTGCAGGGAGTGCTGGGGCATTATGGGAAGTGGTTTGTATTCATGCCTCTCAGTGTGAAATAAGCTATTTGCATATATATTTGAATGCACATGCAACCACACTTCAGTTGCAGCCCTCGGCATGTCCTGTGAGTATCATTGTGTCCCCCAGGGACTTCCAAAGTTGAGTAGCCCTGAGGTACACCAAGCCAGACACAAAGAGCACTTCTGCTTCTCCACATTGGCTAACTGGAAGCCATACAAGCCATCACCTTAGACCCGTGGTCACCAACCCATCAATAGCGAGGGCTCGACCAGTTGATCGCAAGGTGTTCGGACCCCCCCATTCCCCCCCACACCCAAGAAGCACCACTGCCTACCTCCAGCGACAATGGAAGTAGTGCCAGCTTCCTGCAGGGTGGACGGAAGTCCTGCAACTGCGTGCCGGGAACTTGCGGGAGGGGGAGTCCCAGGAGGAGGCGCGCGCTGGGGCTTCCCTACTCTGCGGGACAGGAGAGTCGGCCCCGGAGGAGGCGCACGCTGGGGCTTCCCTGCTCTGTGGGAGGGGGGAGTTGGCCCTTGAGGAGGCATGCGCTGGGGCTTCCCTGATCTGCGGGGGGTAGGGCAGAAGGAGTCCTGGGAGGAGGTGGGTGCGGGGGACTCCCTGCCCCCAGCAACACCCTGTCCCCTACCCCCACTTGCACCCTGTCCCCTGCTGCAGAACCCTGTCCCCTACCCCCCTGACTGGACCTTGTCCAGTTTCTCCACATCTTTCTTGACATGCTCCCACTGGTACCCTGTCCCCTGCTGCGGAACCCTGTCTCCACTGGCACCGTGCCTCCTGCTGCAGAGCCCTTCCCCAGTACCCACTTGCACCCTTCCCCAGTACCATGTCCCCTGCTCCCACCAGCACAGTTGGGGCCACATTAGTGAGGCTTGGGGTGGGGGGGTATTTTGCATCTCACTTATGTGGCCCCAACTGACTTTTCTGTGGGTCAGTGACCCCCTGACTCAAAACAGGTTCCCTGCTCTTCTCATAAATAAAGACAATGCAGAAACTTTTTGTGTTTGACATAGTATTTTATTTAAAAATGAAGCCTGGCCAACAAACCCCCAATTGGGGCCAAGCCCCCATCTGGCCGCAGCATTGTAACACTCCTGCACACACACCCAGACCCTAGATCTGAGCCTATCATACACTGGACCCCCCCTGCCCTGAGCTCCTCACATACCCCAACCCAAATTCCTGAACCCTCACATCCACAAGCCTGGGGCTTGCTTAGTACTCTAGCCCTCCATATGACCCCAATACTCCCCAGCCTGGAGCCCCCTCCCTGAGCTAGCATCCCCTTCTCCACCTCCTCTTGCACCCAAATTTCCACCTAGAGCTTGCACCTCTCACCCCTTCCCACACCCAAATCCCTCATTCCCACCCCAGAGCTCACACATCCTGTCTCAACCCAGTGAGGGTACGGCTAGACTGCAGGAGATTTTCCAGGATTCCAGAGATATCCCGGAAAACCTGTTCTGCATCCAGGGACGCATTTGTTCTTCTGCTTTTTTTAGCGGAAGAGCAAACATGCTCTTTTGATAACCCCTGTATTCCTCATTCCACGAGGAATAAGGGGGCTTCCAAAAGAAGGGGTTTTTCTGACATTTGGTCCAGTCTAGACAGGCCAAATGTTGGAAAAACCTCTTCCTACAGAAGAATTGAAAAAAAAGCGGCAGTGTAAAGTGCATAAGGGCTGGGTATAGCAAGTGATGGAGAGGAGGAGAATAGAGAGGGTGGGGCTTCAAGGCAGGGGTGGGGTCTTGGGGGAAGGATGGGATGGTAGATCTTGGCTTGTTCTGACATTTAAAAGGTGATCTTGGTTGTTAAAAGGTTGGAGACCACTGCTTTAGACAATCCAGTTTTCTTTTACTACCACTTGTACCACCCCTCATGGTTATGAGATGAGAGGTTATGAAAACCAGTCTCACCAAATAAAAATACTTTTTTTCTGACCCCAAAGGACCAGCCACAGTCCAGAACAATATATAACTCAGATATTACTCAAAATAGCATTTTGCCTATCCTTTAGAATCTAAAGGTTTATTTCTAGAAAGGAAGAATCATTCATAGCATTGGAAGACACCTTCACAGAGGAATCCACACAAATTCCAAAGATGACTCCACACTGAAACCACTGTCAGCACTGCAACAGGCCCTAGGGTTGCCAGATGGTTTAACAAAAAAATACCAACCCACCCCTGGCAAAAGAAAAACACCAGGAAAAAATTCTGTTGAGGAAAGAAAAGGGGGAAACCAAAGTTGTTGAGCAAAAAAAAAAGGGGGTGGGGAGACCAAAGTTGTTAAGAAAAAGGGGGTGCTGCATGCCTCACTTCCCTGCCAGACATGGCAGGGGAAAATTGTCCCCGCCAGGCTTCCCATGCACCTCACTTCCCCACCCCCACCAAATGCAGCAGGGAAAAATTGTCCCTGCCAGGCTTCCATCCAAGGGAAACAAGAAATACCAGACATTTCACATGTCTAGTATTTTCTGGTGTTTTTTTACCGGACGGGGGACTCGAATAATGGACAGTCTGGGCAAAAACTGGACACCTGGCAACCCTAGCAGGACCTGGAACCAAGACTTCTGATCACCTCAGCACTGTCCTTAGAGGTCTCTTCCTCTACAACACTGGGGGACATCTTTTCACCATCCTCATGCAGAGAACTTTCCCCTCTGAGGTCAGCAGGTGGCCTGATGGAAAGATCTAAAGGATCATTGTTTAGAGCAACATCACAGTTTTATCGTGACTGTTAATGGACTAGCTGACACCATGTGAAACAGCTATGCCTTATTGGGCATGCTGGATCCATGCACTGAAACCTCCAGGAAATGGGACCTTTAGTTGTCCCTTCCTGAACAACTGGATGCAGAGGAATACAACGTCCCTTATGAAGAACTTTCACTTGAAGGAATAATTCTCTCTCAAGTCCTGTATCTTGGTAGGGGATTAGATTAGATGACCCTTGTGATCCAATTAAACCATATGTTTCTATGATTTTGTATCTGATTTCTGCATGCTGCAAGTGCCTTCCCACCAGCTAGTAAGAATTCTTCACTCCTATTGTGTTTTATTTTGGTTTTCCTTTTCTCTGATTCCTGAGGAACTAACATATCCTCACAGTATTAACTTGAACGCTGAATAACGAAGTTGGTATCTTTGCTTCAATACAGTTAAGGCATTCTTACTGTGTTGTAATTGTCACACATCAAGGTTACTTACATCTTGTTTATTTTCATCTGTCGATTTATATTAGACATATAATTAGGAAAACGTGACACGGTGATCTCTTTCTCTTACATTCTTGGAAAATAATGTTAGTGTATCTTATAAAACATGACCACTAATCTGTACACTCAGAATAATGTACAGGGTAAATTCAGAGAAATGTCACTGAGTTATGTCAGGTTTACACTGGCATAATTCAGAGTAGAATTTGATCCATCAGTAGCATCTTTTGTTTGCTTGTTTGTTTATTTTTATATTCTTCTTTTCAGGAAGAACACAGTTCAAAGTGGAAATTAAAGCACTTTCCTCCAGTGAAATCATCAGGATCCACATCCCTAGCCTTTTGGATAGGAATGATGGGTCATTTCTTATACTGTATCGGATGTATGGGAGTGTCAACGAAGGGTTAAAGATTGAGGTACTTTATGGTAATGAACATGTAGCTCAATCTCCTTATATTTTGAAAGGTAAGTTTTCAGTTTCACATTTTATGGTAACAACTACAGAAATGCTATGGACTAAACTTTGGCTACTCTGGTAACAAACTGGAGCTTTTTCTGGGATAAGCATCCCCTAAGGAACCTTCCTCTTACACGGAATAAAAGAGTAGAAATAAATTACATGCAGATCATTGCCAGGTTATGGGACATAAAAATTTAAGCATGGAAATCCCTGGACTTTTTAGGTCCTGTGTTAGAACATGTTTCCCTAGCTCTTGTTGTAGGGTGACCTTCAGTGTTTATGATGTGCCACAGCACAGACAGAACATCTTAATTTGTGGTGAGGCTGTGAGTTTTCTGGCACTTAAGCACAGCATCTGCAAGAATGTAGTGCTATAGCTGTCTAAAGGAATCTTCACCTCGCAAAGCAAGAAAATCTGTGTTATACCTAGCAGTTCATAATGTGTTCAGTCAATCTTACCTTTGTGATTTCCAAAACATGGTCCTTTCTAGACTTTGAAATCTTATAATCAGCCCCATGTTCTCTTCTTCTGATAGGCAGAGCTTAGATCAATGCTAGTTCCTACACTGTAAGTTCCATTTAAAAGGGAAAATGAAAGGAAATTGTTTTCACATTTCTAGTCTGCTTCTCTGGTCTTTTCTCTTCTCACAATTAGTTTGTTACCAAGGGGGAAAGGATGAACCGTGAAAAAAATTACTTCTTTAGCATTTCTTTCCACTCTTTC